AATGGAAAGACAGGTGGCTCCAGCCCTTCCATCAGTTCTTAGACTTTATCATTAAGCGAGTAGGATTCTCTTTCCTCAGCTTATTTTTAGCAGACCAGTTAAGGGATCATACGTTAGATCAGCTCAAGCTCTTGCTAAATAAATAATATGTAGGACAGAAAGACTGTCAGTGATTTTGTTTCTTAGACATTTAATAAGAGAACAAAATTATATACTGAAGACAAAAGAGAATACTGCCAGGCACAGACCCATGACAGGTGCTCTGGAAAAGCCTATTTTGATGGTGTCTGGGAATTCTAAGTGCTAGAGAAAAGACTGAACTAAGATTAAGAACAACAAAGTCATGAGTGTATATACCTTGACACATTCCTTATTAGCTATAAATGAAAATGTTTAGTTAAACAGAATTTTAGAATATTTTAAAATTTCAAACAAGTTGAATGTTGTCTTGTATTTCACTTTATTTGTTGCATGGAGCTGAGTTACCCTTAAATTCAAATATATGTACATTACTACAAATAATCACAAGAATGTCATTATTTTTCTATATTTCCTCAATTAACAAATCTTAATTTGCATTATCTTTCCAAAAATGTATACTAAAGCCAATGAGATGTCTTTGTATAAAAAACATTCCAATTAACGAAGTGATTTTTCAGTTCAATATATACACATATATTAGAGAAAGCTAAAAATCGATTAAGGTACTTTTATATACCTTAGGCATTCTATGTTCAATATACTTAAAATAGTAGCTATTGGGGATGAATATAATCTTTGAACATGAAATCGATTAACTGTATTTTGCTATCAATGCGCTGATCCAGAAATCTTATATACTGTAAGGTAACTGGCAGAGGCAAAAAATCAGATCCATAAATAATGAACACTGCTACTATTTACTGCAATCCTAAGAGGCTAAAAATCTTTCTCTCAAATCAGACATCAGACTTTAAGGCTTATTATTTTATAAAGATAAATCTCAAAATATTTTCACTCTATTCAGGAACTCTTTTAAATAAGTACCTATAAGCACTCAAAGAAAATTAATTTCTAAATGGGGAAGGAGGGCCTCAATCTAAGAATATCAGCTCTAGAATAATCTTTTAAAAAGGAGAATTAGAGAATATCTCTAAAAAGAGAAAAAAAAATGCCAAAATCCTTGTGTTTCACAACTGAACCAACGCTGAAATAACTTGAGGAAATTAATGAAGAGCTTAAAAAGCAAAAGCAAATGAACTGGTTAATAAACACACAAAAACAGCTCATGCAGTAGTTCAACATGATATTCTGAATAGTTATGTATTTTTTTTAAATAGAACCATAATATCTCTATGTATAAAACAATGAGATTTTCAAAATACTTGAAAATCCCAATCAAATTTTACTCTAGATAGAGCTGCCAATCTGTTAGGGGTATGAGGCCCAAATAAACTTGACATTAAATCAAGAAATCAACACTATTTTTCATAGAAGGAACTAGTAAGCTAAAAGATCTTTGGTATTTTTGTTAACAGATTTGCTGCACTAAAAATATGGTACTCTCTAACTATAGTACTCTAACGTATTTTTTGCATCTTTTATAATCTATAATTCTCTAATGTTGGGTCTTTAAAACATACACACACGAGGAATTTGTATTTGCTACATACTATCTTGTATGGTATTGTACTTGTTCAGTTTAAATCCATGGGTTTTGTTCTATGAGGTTTCAGAAAGCAGCAACTTTATTATATGCATTTTTAGATCATTACTAATGGCTTTAGCTTAAAGATCATTAATTTTAACATTAACATTCTGCTTTAGTCTCATTTGAATTGTTCTATTTATCTCAAAGGTAGTTTGTGTATTACCATCACAAAAAAATTACTATTTGCATAACACTTTATGATTTTACATGTATTACAAACACATCACAGGGAGCCTAGGGCTGCATTCAGTAGCTTGTCATTCACCACTTCAAGACCCTTCAGAGCCAAACAAGGGAGAGGATGACATTTTGCTAATGGTAGAAGTACAGAAATGAATATAAATAACAAACTTTGAAGTTGTAATAATACAAAAGAAAGAAATACAAGAAGAGGATGATCCAGACGCATCAACAAAACAAAACTTTCAATTTGTAAAACTCCATGTCTTCTAAATAGAGCAAGATGTTTGCAGGTTTATGCAGCTTCTGTTATGGTAATCATTTAAATTATCTAAGACTATGGCACAAAAATAAAAGGAATTACTACCATTTTGCTAGGTCATATAAATTAATGTGATAAATATTAAAATTGCTCCTATTTACAGAATTCAGCTTTTCTTCAGCATTCTCTATTAGTAGTAGCCTTAACCCTAAAAATATGCAGCCTAAGAGTGTTTTAAGAGAAAAATACTGATGTGTGTTTGGAAATTGTCTTTTCAGAATTTGTTCTTGATAAAAGAATCGGAAAACTTAAGATTTCTATATTTCCTTCCATAATCATCACTACTGAAAAAATATTCACAAAATACTGAATGCTCAGTGTCACCTATAGTTCAAATGCCCACAGCACTAGAAGCTTTCTGTAAACGACATACTTCTACATGAAATACATCTCTTGAGTCACCATCTACTTAAATATCTTTATGTGTAGTTTCAAAGCACCATAAAAGCTAGCCATCTCTCTCTCATCTATCCATCTATCTATCTATCTACCTATCTATCTATCTATCTATCTATCTATCTATCAATCTATCTATCTATGTATATATCTTTGTATCTATCTACCATCTCTCTATCATCTATATCATCAGTCATCCATTTATGTATCATGTAATCTATCTACCTATCTATCTATCTGTCTGTCTGTCTCTTAAATGTGTATAAAAAGGAGAGCAGAGGGAGAAATGGAGCATGTCGCTGTTTCTCATTCATGCAGTAGAGTGATGTCAGTGTCTGCAGCAGTGGCAGCGGCAAAAGCCTTGGCCAGTGGAGGTTAAAATCCACTCGTCAGAACCTTAGAGAATTCAAATGAAATTGAGCATTTATTTGAAATTTTAAATCACCGTATGGATTTAAAGTGGCTTTGTAGATAGAATAAATTGTATAGTTTCAATATGGGTAGAGAGGAACAAGGTGGAATGTGGATAAGTAACACAGGAGAAATCCAATCAGGGAACTGGGGGCACAAGAGGCTGCATTCAAAAATCACTCCAATGCAAGAAACTGACAAAAACACCTGGTGTTAAAAACGTCAGAGGAACTCTAGCACGGAAAGCCCTTCAATTCCCAACACAAGCTCTCTTGACACTGCAAATCTGTCTACTGCACCCCCAGGCTCGGAAAAGTGTTTTCATCATTATTGCATTAAAATTGCATTAAACTCGGATATGCCATTCTACAACAAAGAGGAGAGTTTAAGCCTGATCACAAATTTCATTAAAACTACTTCATGATGGGGCATGTAATTCCTAAGCAATTAGGGCTTTTGAAGGATGTAGAAAAACAAGTTGTACTATTATCTGTTGTAAGATGTTACTGTTTACCAACAAAAGGAAATGAGGTGCTAGGAGGCCATTAGAGTGAAGCAAGCAATTGCCAAAACTTCTTACTCTGCTCACCAAATCCTCTGCACAGAATCTGTAATTCTTATTTTATGCTTTTTACATTACACTCTAGAAGAAAATCCCCAAACGCAATTTACACATTGTTAAAGCTAAATCATTGAAAAATTCTCGGAACTGCTGCCTTTTCTTTCTGTTACCTCTCATTTAATACAGCCCCAGAAAATGTGCAAGGGAGTTGCATATGGCATTAATCTGTTAGAAAATGGTGGCCTTTTCTATAAAATACAGCCAAAGATGTGTGTTCAGTTGTGGTCATTATTAGGGCGATCACGTTGTTTTCATTCATTCATTCAGGATTTGCTGGAGGATGTCAGTTTCTGGAGCAGCTGGCTTGACCTGGGGGAGGAGTGGGAGAGCAAATTCCTCCCGGTGCATACAGATTACAGGATGTATTTCTTGTAGCTCCCGAACTCAACTGCACAGCACTACATCTTACACTGGGGCTTACCATTAAGTGGTCTGAAGCCAAGTGTCTTAGCAGCATGCTAATTCCTGGTCTAAAATAGTAAAGCTGTGATCTATTATAACTCAATCACTCTCTTCAATTCCAACACCAAGAAAGTCCATTTTAAAAATCCCACATACCACATAAACACTGTATGGAGCTTGACAGTATTTCCTTTCCGAGCAGAGATTTCCTCCACTACGTCTGATTCCTTCCTTCCACAATGCAGCAGCAATAGCAGCAGGAGCAGGAGCAGCAGCAGCACAACTGTAGCTCTGGCTGTCTCTGATAATATTAGGCACTCCCCCTCTCCTTTATGGCCTTTACGTACCTGTTTTGGCTAATTGTCTTTTTCTCCCCCAGGACTCAACTAGATTCTGCACTACGTCCCCAGACATAAACCAAACCAAACCAAAACAGAAAACATTCCGGGAAGCCCACAGCATCCACCCGCATTACCTTTGACACCTAGCAAAAAAGAAACTTGAGATCCCTACACAGACAGCTCAGCTGAACTCTTGAGTAACTTAAAGATGGAAAGGAAAAGTGAACGCACTCCACAAGCAAGGTTTTAGAAATTCATCACGAAACTCGCCATTCCGGCATTTGTAGCGCAGCAGTGCTCTGACGCCTGCCGGTACGAAATGGAGAGTGGAGGGAAGGAAGAAAACCCTACACGCTTCAACTGCACTTTCAAAACCGTCTCTACACTTGCAAAGGACATTCTGACACCGTAACGAGCGCCATCAATCCTCCAAACACAAAACATGCACACTACACCATCCCCGTAGCTGCAGGCGCGTCGGGAACTTTGTGGGCAGGCACAAAGGCTGCAGAGATTGCCATCGCAACCTTCTCCAGGCTGCAGAGTTTGTGTGCGTGTTTAGGGGTTTCCAGCGCCTCCTTCCCGGCCACAACAGCACACACGCCAGATTGCTAATCAGCTATTAAACCGAAACACCTTCCATGCAGGCAGGCGAGGGATGGCAGAGGAAATCCGAGGGCGGCACGAGGGCTGAGCAAAGTTGCCTTGCAGGTCGCTCCTCCAAGCCCCGCAGCGACCTCCGGGGGGTGAGATTCCCAAAGCCACTTTCACACCTTCGGTACTGCACTAGCACACAGAAGCCAGGAGAGGCTGAAGTTTCCAAGCAGGGCACCGTCGGGGAGACGCAGCCCGGGAGGACGGGAGGGTTGGACTCGCTACCTCTGCACACGGGCGAGCCGGGGCTCCGTCTCTCAGGTGAGCTGCTCCTCCGCTGGCTCTCGGGGGACCGTCTCGGGCGGCACTTGGCCCGCGGCGCCTGCTCGGCCGGGGTTGCGGCGGGCGACGGAGTCGGACTGGGCGGGCTGGGGCCGCGGGCC